TTCTACAATTTCCGTGAAATGGTAAACTGTTCCTGCAGGAAATTGTATCGCTCCTCCAGCTGCCGGTACTTCTGTTCTAGGGCTTTCAACTCGGGATTTGTCCGATTGATCCCAGTCCGATTCCTGACCAGCTCAACGTAGGATCCACGGGGATCCGCGTACTTAGTCACCTTGCGATCAAGGTACCAAAGTAGTGGTACCACCTGCTTGTAGAGCACCCCGATCGGTGTACCTCGCACCGACTCCACTTCCTCTTCCTCCGAAGTCGTGTTGTCTTCGGTCTCGAGGATCTCTGTCGCCACAAAAATCCTTGGCGATTCTCTCGAGCTGAATCGCGCAGCTTCTTCTGCCGCGGTCTCCGCTCCATGTCCTGCCAATACCTCCAAAGGGGTGGAAGAACTTGCTCCTGTTGGGCCTGCTTCACCTGCCCGGACTGCTACCGCCGAAGGCGCTTGTGCCGAAGGCACACTTGTCTCCCCCTCTCTGCCTTCGTCCGCTGCAATTTGCTCCAGGTGCGTTTGTGCCGAAGGCGCTTGGCCCGAAGTCCGTTGAGCCGAAGGCTCTTGACCCAAAGGCGAGTCATCAAATGGTACTTGCTCGGAAGGCAAGCACTTCTACATCGCAGGCATGTTGGCCGTTGCCGCATGCCGTCCTTTGTGGCCCGAAGGCCAACGCGCTTCCTCCGAAGGCACACGCGCCTTCGGTGCAGGAAGATCCACTTACCTCCCAAGAACTTCTGCACTCACATCCTCCTCCAAGGATGGTGAGTCTCTCGTGACCGCGGCTCGCCCTGTGTCCGCGCTGCTCGCTGGCAGAACTAGCTTGCATGCATCCTGCTTTGGTCGGCTTGCGGGCTCGTTGTTCGCACAACGCCTGACTGGAGCAGTGGGCACTTCCCGCTGACTCTGGTCCGCTTCTTCATCCCACTTCCGCTTCCGGGGTGCTCGCGCTCCCCGCGGTTTGTCATCCGCTCTTGGTCGAGCTGGTGGTGTGCTGGCGGGCGCTTCGTCGGGGTCGGTGTTCACCTCGACGTCCTTCACATACCTGCTCAAATTTGTTCGTGACAGCAAGGGAAATTGTACCCGCTCCGTTGCTGTCAAACACCCCATCAACCGATAAAAATTGATCAAGAAGGGGGAGATGTCATTGATCGATCCCCCCTTCTCCTCCTGCGCATGCTATCGCGTGGCCTTCCACAGAATCCGAGACCAATGAATCGGAGTTCCTGCCAACGCCACAAATCCCACCTGCCAAGATGTCATGTAGGTGGTGATGTGCGGCTGTAAAATCTGGAGGAGTGCTACCGCGACATTCCTCCGCTTGCGGTCCTTGTAGTCACGGGTCTTGTACCCGTTCTTGCTCGACTTGCAGTTCTTGAAAAGTGCACCGAAGGAAATTTCTTCCTCCGTGACCTGGACTCTCACACTCGAATATGAGGTAGCCTTCCTCTCCCGTGCACCTTTCCAAGACCTGCTCCCAATCGCTAACTTGCCATCTCTCAAGATGTGGTCGATAACCTCGCGGAGGTTGGTTCCTCTCTCGCAGCCACTCCCGGACCATCGCATGGCACATCCAATTCCATCCCCACAGAAGGAAATCGAGCTTTACTGCCATCAGCTCATCTTGAAATGCGTGCAAACTGATCTGTGGCACTCTCAGTGGGACCATCCGCAGCTAGATCGACTTGGCCATTAAATTCTTAAGAATCTCTGCGCACTCCTGCTCTCTACTGCCGCAAACTTCCTACAAACTCTCTGCAAAGTCTCTACTGACTCTCTGCGAACTCGACTGCTGCGCGTCACGAGCTCTGTCTGCGAACTCGCTGCAATCTCTCTCTGCAATTCTTCCCAAAGCTCTGTCGCTACGCACTCTCGACATGTTTCCCGCACCCTCTCCTGTAACGCACTCTCGACAAACTCTCCGCAAGATCTCCGCGAATTCAGCTGATGCGCGTCGCGAGCTCGAGCAAATGCCAAATTGAAAATGCGAGAGTGAGGCTCTTCCTTCGGCGATCAAGATTTCTCATTGTTCGACACTTGAGCTGGCCGCGGCCCGCTTGAATGCTATGCCGGCGCGGAGGCGTAACGGTCCGATTCGCACGCGCGAATTCACGCTCCGCCGTTGCGCGGACTCCTACACTTGTATATTCAATCTTGATCCCGCTGATTTCCGCCGACGCGGTTCTCCATCCGCGTACTGCCGAAAGCGCTCGCTGCGAAGGTACATGCTTCTGCCATTTTCTTTGTTCTTTCTTCTTCCGCCGAAGGCGCTCCAAAGAAGGCGAGTCCTTCCGCCGAAGGCGCATCCTAGAGGCGAAGACCTAACGACGAAGACGGCGCTAGTGCCGAAGGCACTGGCGCCGTCTCCCTATTTGACCCTATTTGACCTATTAGACCCGCGATTCTCCCTATTTGACTCTATTTTTGCATACCGATTACTATTTACAACTGCTACCGCGGTACTTATCTTTCAAAAATGTTTTAATTCCGACAAAAAAACAAAAACTGGGTTACCACATAACTTCAACCATGTTTTTGTAAAAAGAAAAGGTCACGGCATTCTTTTACGTGTCCAGGTAGGAGACAATGATGTTCGCCAAAGGGATCGCGATCTCAAAATATGTAGACTTTTCCACTGCCAAAAGCTGCTGGTAAGCCTCCCAACGTTGTGGGTGCTCGAGTTTCAAGTGAGTGCATCGATTCTTTGGCCGTAAAACAAGACCAAAGGTCTTGTAATTTGTATTTTTCACTCTCTTTGCATCCAATTTGCTTTTGTGGCTAAAAACAAAGAAGAATTTACACCAAATAGAGATGATCACGCCACTATGCAAGGACTTCTCAGCAACCGACAGACCATACTTCACACGATGCAAAAGCTTGAAAGGTGTTGTTCGAAGAGCAACTACTTTTTTGCGAATGGTGGCCATTGTTTTAGGGAATGTAGCGTTGCCAGAGGAGTTTGAAGTCCTGACGTACATCTATTTGTAGTGTACAAAAATTAGACATCCTTCTTACGTAGAAATAGGAATATTAGGCATCTAATTTTAAAATGCCTAATCTACATAAGGCTGGTTATGAGGTTTATGTTCCCTCTATGCTAGTAAGTTTTTAGTTAACTCTAAATATTATCACTCTATCGTGATATGATTACGATTTAGTTCTAGTTAACTCTCCTGTAAACCTTGTGTAAGGTTTACTTCTAAAACTTTTCCCGTAATACCAATATTGGTTACAGAATATACTATTTCCTTAACACAAGTTAATGGAGAGATTGTTGAGTTATTTTTAGCTAGGTTGGTCGCCGGTGTTCGATATATGTAAACCAAGGTTTCTACACTGCATCATTGTTATGTTTCACTACAGTAGTAAACTCTCTAGCGTGTTTTTTCCCGTGGACATAGGCCTCTGAAGTATGAAGCACGTTACGACTGCGTGTAATCGTGTTTATCTATCTACATGTCTATCTATCATTGTCTTGCATGTTTTGGATATATATATATATATATATATAGTCAATAGATAAATTTTCAGGATGAATAAGTTGATATCTGTTAGCCAATTTTTTGCAAGTGAAACAAACGATGAATTTGGAATGCTCATTATAAATTGTTAGTTATATTATGATCATGAAACGACATTAATGCTTTCAATAGTACCTTTGTACACACTACTTTAGAATCGCCACACCATGTGACTTTGAGTAGTAGTTCATTCTTCCACTAACATCGTTGTTCACAGTAGTTTGAATTTCTCATATATGCGATTGTGAGGCTATATCATTAGAGCATTTAGACTCTTCTAGATGTTCATCTAAATCACATAGTTTTGCAAATGGTCGTGAAAATAGTATTCATAAATGTAACTTGACAGAACTTAGTTAGACTTATGAATCTTAATAAATCGTTTTACAATCAAACTTTTGCTTCTTGCTATGGATACTCATTCGATACCGTCACATTTCTACAATTTATTTTTGTAATTAGACAAATATATATTTTGAAGTGATGATATTTGTTTGCCATAGTTGATCATAGATTTTTCATAATTACTACTTTGTAGATGTCAGATTCTGCTTTTTCATATTTTACAAATGATTTGTACATTTTGGTCGCAATTGATACATGAGATAGTGTTTCACTATTTAACTAAGTACTGTCGACTTGTTATCTTCAAAGACAAAATTTCAAAGAATATGACTTGGACTACTGTAGAAAAAGATTTCATTTGAAGCTAACATAGGATTGCATAAAATTGGGAAATGGATTACACATTTAGGAGTGCTAATTGGAATGTATAGTATGATTCCTAAAGATACAACATTGGCCAAATATAAAATATGCATGGATGATATTCTTAGACTAGAAGATCCGCAAGTAGGTATAGGTAAATTCTCCTACAATATTGATAGAATCATATACTTTTTATTCCAAGCTTCCTCCCTCACCTTCACTCTTCTTCTCACGTTTGAATTCGTTTGTTAGGCGGATGATACGGTATTCATTTAGTGACATAATCTGACTAGAGCCTTGGATATACATATTTTACATTTATTGTTTGAATTTAATACTTTTGATATTGTAAAACATATTTCTGCATCGTGCTATGCTTGAAGCCTAGCCAAAGAAAGCATTACTTGTGACCAATCATGGTATATTCCCATTTTTTTTTTTTCTTCAACTTGACGGAGTTTGTTTGGCTCTAGCAACTACAAATAATTGATTTATGAATATAGGTATATTTATATATCATAATTATCTATAAGGTAAACAACTGAAACCCTTTACAATCGTACCATTCTAATGTAGCTCGAAATAAGCTTGGAAAGAAAATCCTAAATCGTTTCAACCAATAACTGAGAGGAAAACCTAGGAAAGGAAAGGAGGAAACCATAAAGAATCAAGATGAGATTTCATATTCCTGATTCATAAAACCTGGCACCGTAAAGTTAGGGCGCAACTTCGGGCGCAAAGAACTTTGTTCTTAGAACAAGGGAAAGAGCACGAAGATGTACGAGGGCTAGGTCTGTCAGTCAGCGCAAAGGACGACGTAGAAAGTAGTGCAGGAAAAAACTTTTGAAGCTTGGAAATTCATGAATGACGAAGAAAGCCTGAGCTGTCGATCGCATCGATTGCCGCTCGATTCGTTTATGCGATGAGTGTCAGCTGAATTTTGAACCAGAATGAGTCGAATCCCTCTTTTCCTCCAAGGTGGTGGATTCATCGAGTGTGATCTTCTGCGGAGGACCTGGCTGGATTGAGCTCATTGCGGTTCTGGACTGCTGTCGAGATGGGGAAGCTGATGGTCTGGGTAGGAGTGGCCGTAGCAGTTACAGTTCGATTTGTTTTTGCTGCGATGGGGGCACAAGAGCGACTCGGACGTCGAGTGGAAATTGTGACGCCTGTCACCAGCCTTAAGCGCTGTATGTCCGGCCCCTGTCATCCATAAACTTTCTTCGTTTTACACATGTGCGTTTCTTTTACGATTTCGGTGATTTTTTGTCACTGACAAATGGGACTTTCAACTGGGCCTGAACGAGTCCTTTTTTTCCAACGCAGTGGCTGAAGGGCAGTGGTTCAAGCAGCTGGGTTTGTCGCCGTATGCAGGTGTGCGTCTTATGTGGATAAATCGTTGCAATCCGTTTGTCTTCTCGATAATGTTGTGAAATTCAGTGTTTATGATAAATGCGAGCAATGCGCCAAGATCACTAGATTGTAGACATACTCAGCTGTCTCAAGGCTCATGTACAGCCGGATTACGACGTTCTGGATGTTGATCGTAATGGTCACCTGACGCTCAAATTTAGAAAGGAAGACTGCACTTACGACCATCATTGATGGTCGCAAGTGTAGTCTTCCTTTTTAGATGCTTTTGCACTCCCTTGTGAAGCGGTTTGCAAACTAGTTTTGTTAGGCGCATCACTCACATATTTTCTCAGTCTCATTTCTCACGTCTGTGATTCCTAATTAAAAATATTTCCTCTTGATGTTGTTCAGGTTCAGCTTATCATGGCTCACCCCTTCTCCTGGCACTACTAGGACCAATGACAACCGTAGGGTGAGTTCGTTTGTAGAGTAAGGAGTTGTTGGAGACTTCTGTTTTCAGATTTTCTGTCCCCTCGAATTTTCAAGGTTTTGAAGGTTGCTCGATGTATAAAATTATCACTGAAGTTCGTCCAAGCAATTTTGCAACTTCATTTAACTAGCATCCTATGTGTTTTCATATGTCTTTGAATCTTGGATACCTCTTCAAGTAACTGGGATTTTGTGTGTGGTTCATTGCAGAACAGGTGGACAGACTTCTTCGAGGTTTCATAGCAGGCACGTCCTCGTCATGACTAGTTTCTACAGAATAGTTGCGAGAAAATTATCTCATGCACTCGATATATCGCATGCGAGAAGAACATAACTCCCTGCTATAGATTATATATCGTGTCTGTGACAGACTCTGCAGAGTTAAACGAAAGATGATGGTTTAGCAGCGAAACGGTACATGTCCAGGAACCAACAATTATTTTGTACAGTCTCATTGTCTTTGTGATTGCAGACCTTTTAGGCGCTTTGCTTTTACTCAAGATGGGTAATCTGGTCGAATCGGCCAACGTGTACTATCTGGGCAAACTTCTGCCAGACTCAAAGAAGTCTAAGCCGTCCGTCAAGACGCAAGTGAACGATATAAGAGGTAATCCCAGTGAGTAACCAAAGATTGAAGAAAGTTCTCCTGTTTTATCACGCATTTATTGAAAGCCAGGAATATTGTCAAGCGTACAACTGTCAATGTACCTGAACCTCGCACTTTTGGCAGGTCATGGTAAGTTAGGATTGGGTGAAGTGGCTGCTCTTCTGTACCTGGTGAATCCTTTCACAGTTGCCGTTTGTGTTGGTGGGACCACCTCTCCAGTTGAAAATGTCCTGGTGCTCTTAGCTCTTTATGGAGCCCTGAAAGGTGCATGATCGTTGCTGATGTGCTTTTATAATTGCCATGGAGAACCTTCTTCTTTTTTTTCTTGTAGTGTTTTCTTTTTCTCGGAAACTGTTTTATTAAATTTTCTACCCAGTAATGTCAACTCTCTGTTGTATTTTGCACGCTGCAGGTAACTCGCCACTAGCAGCTTTCGGGTGGGCAATGTCAACTCACTTGTCCATGTACCCTGCTGTTCTTCTGATCCCTGTACCTCCCAATCCATAATCCCATATATATCCAGGCTTGCTTGATCTTGAACATGGAATGGGCATTTATTTTGATCGATTCTATCTGTATTGACGGAGGGAACGAAGTATACTGCGACATATGGCTTAATATTATCAGGATGGACTAGAGGTTGTTCATCAAAGTTGCGAATTCAAACTCTTCGTTTAGGAAGTCTAGAAGGGTCAGGGGCTCGAAACTCCTTGTTTAGTCCAAGTGACTCTGACTATAACAATTTATCTCTTCCAGATAAGTATCCTGATGGTTGCTGGTCCAGACAAGCCTCAAAGGAAGCTTTTTGACCACGTAAACAAAATTAAGACATCCAACCCGAAACTTAAGGAGAAGAAAATGGTTGGAACCACTTCTACAGTCCAGTTACAATGGGCGAGATATCGGGATTTTCTGTTATTTTCAGCACTATGGTGGATTGCCATTCTTGGATTGTCCGCTGCGGCTCTTGGTGGATACGAACACCTAAAGGAGATGCTTATTGAGTAAGATATTCACGTCCATTTTACTCAACTTCAATCCACGTCAATTTTAATATGCCAGTACGGTTTTGGTACCGTTTATTGCGGTTTCTGATGGAAAGGAAATTGATGTTGTTTCAGATTTTAGGTTCCTGTAATTTTCTCTACATATGGCCTTGTGATGCCCACTTTTCTACGTGTGGCTGACGGTATCTCTTTCGGAACTCAACTTGACAAGGAACTGGGACCTTTGTTCACATGCCTCCTCTGTTGGGGTGAAGGGATTGATTATTCTACTTGATAGGGTCGTGATACAACAATTTGAGATTTCGTCTGTTTTCCTTTGCAGGACTTACGGTTTTATTCTTCATGTTGAAGATCTCTCGCCAAATTTGGGACTTTTTTGGTATTTCTTTACGGAGGTTTTTACCCACTTTCGGGATTTCTTCATCATGGTTTTCCATGCGAACATCCTCTTTGTTTTAGTCCCGCTAACTATACGGCTGCACCATCGACCTCTGTTTCTGGCATACGTCATGGTTGCAATAACCACAATGCTTAAGTCATACCCATCGATTGGTGATGCTGCAATTTCTCTGGGCCTGTTAGGTCTTTGTACACCCGAGCTGGCCGGTAATGTTTCTTACTCTCTTCCTTTGAATAGGCATACTGCTTAATATTTGTTTTGCTATACATTTTCTAGGATTATGTACCTCTTGATTCAACTTCATTTCACGTTGGTTTCTCGACAGCAAGATAAGAACGAAGTAATGGAGTTCGTTTAGGGCCATGGGATCCAATACCTGAACTTTGACAGGCAAACAAACATATCTACCCGGCGAATATTTTGACCACCGTCCAACACTTGGAGTTTGATACCTCTGTGGAAACTTAACATGCAACTCTTGTCCCTTGATCAGATTTCAGGTTTTCGTTCTTTGTACTTAATGGCTACCTTGTAGTCGCGATCCTCAGCCCATCGATGTACAATTTGTGGATATGGCGGGTAATCATCCATAACTCCACTTTTTTCCCCTATCTGGATCATCTGAGTAATGAATATCTTGAATTAATCAAAATATCTGACAATATAAATCTACGAACAAAGGAAAACCACTACTTATTGAAGTACTGTGGAACAAGATTCGTCGGCTACTCTTTGGTGCTAATAACTTCACAACCCTCGCAATTTTGTGCACTTTCTGTTAGAACATTTCATATAGTGTGAAATTTTGGACGGTTTGATCGTGTCACGAATATAAGAGGCCACCTATCTTGGTCCCATCGCTCGTCCTTGTGAGGATTTCCCTCTCTCTGTTGACTGGCAGATCATCTAAAGCTTTCTGGTTAAGAGATGGATACCCAGTTTAATTGAATTAAGGTTGGCTTCGTTGACATTATGTCGCAGGGCACCGGCAATGCAAATTTCTACTTTGCAATGTCTCTAGTTTACGCATGCGTTCAGGTAACTTCGCAGCAAATTTTTTCATTTTCAGCTTTCTTGCCCTGACCTGCGCTTTAACTCAAGCGGTAGTCCTGTGATCAAATCGTGGGGATATAGAGGAGATCAATGATTCCTCGTTTTAGTAGCAATAATCGACGCAAATGTTGTGTAATGTGAACCACATGTTATCTCGTCTTCGATATCTTGATCAGATTGAATTACACTGATTGCTCGGGCTTGTGCGCACGGGTTCTGCTATAATTTCAACGAGGTAGAATTTTCAAGTGGTAACTTTTAATGTATCCACATACCCTGTAAGGATTGGGTTTATCATCTTCTGATCATGTGTCTATGTCTGTAGAGCATTTTGATCGTCGAGAGTGTGGGTACAGTAATTCGCTACGACCGAAATTTGGATAGACTGTCCAAGCTGCCGGTCCAGGTGGACAGCGGTGCGCAGCCCAAGGAGGATTGAGTAGTTTCACTGGAAAATCGATCTGTGGATAGCCCACAAAAGCGATAGGTGTTTGTAGCAAATAGATGTTTGTAGGTAGCTCGGAAGTAGATATGCTCCAAAGAGTAGATAAAGTCCAGTGAGATTAACGAACATGGATGATTGTCACATTCCCATACCCTTGCAGAAATGTGCCTTGAAGACGAAGCGAAGTGAGGATTAAGGAATAGAAGTGAACACTTTTGACATGTGCAGTGATGAAGGATGCAAGCTTTCGAGGGTTTCAAGATTTTTGCACTCTGGCAAGATTCGACTGTCTTTCTAGCCTGTGCACAAGGTGGTCTTAAATGAAGGGTTTGATGTTCTTCTTCTCTAAATGCGCCGCTGTTTGTACCTCCACCGAAGTGGAAGCGTTATTTGTTGTTGGGATTAGGGATAAACGCCTATCAAACATCTATCCTGTAACAACCACTAAAAATCACCAAAGTGTGACAACTTAGACTTTCAATTTTTCACGTGTAGTGGTGAGGAGAAATTGTTGTCTGTGCTCTTCCAGTACTGACCTGACAAAAGAATTTTTTACAACAGTATAAATTTAAAAGAAGCTGCCTTTTTAGAGTCCTTTCACTGGTCCACGGCTGTGGCGGACGGTGTAACAAAAATACGACGGTGTGGGGTGCACTGGTAACAATTTAGGACGAAGCTTTCTTTTCTTTGGACTCCAACAAGAACACTTTTCCAATAGTTAAATCTTTCTGTAAAGGCAGATGAGATTTGCCAGCAGTACCACAATCAGCGTACTAATATACACAACCGGGAAAACATAACGCCGGTGAAAGAATGTGCTGAAGCTGTACGGATTACGAAAGCTAGGCAGAACACTATTCGATTCTTAGCTAAAACAAAAGGTGCTGCCACAGCTCGGACAGGCTGCCATCACTCGAGTGGAGACCCCAAGCTAAAAACTCTGCGGACTCGTGTCGCGCTTTGATCACTAACTACTGCCTCAATCGGCTGAACTACGGCGCAGGCCCTGGGCGGATTCGTGGAAAAATTCGTTAGCGGATAGGAACCGGTCAAAATTTCATGACACTTCCCTTGTGTTCCCTCCAGATCATCGGCGACTTCCTGGCTAAATCTCTACTCATTTGTACAATGTTGGCGGTTCCAGCATGAGCCTCGGAAGGTCTGAAAACTTGCACATCGGCGATGGACTTACCTTTTTTCAAGGCCACGGAGGCGGGCACGATGTGCCCCCACCAAAGCTCCGACATGATGCGGAACATGAAGCCCCAGTACTCGGGGTCGCGCTTGATCCGGAACACGGCGCTGCCATTCACCGTCCAGACGTAGAAATCCATAATCTCGCGGTCGTAGATTTCCAGCAGCCCTTGCGCCTGCGGCATGTAGTAGGCCGGCACGAGGTCCCAGGGAGCGCCGAGCTCCGGGCGCCCTTTGTTGTGCGGGCACTTCACCTCCAGAATGCCAAGCCGCTGGCCGGCCGGCAGCGGCTGCTCGCCGTCGTTCCGGCACCGGATGAGCCCATCGGGCGAGGCGCCCAGCCACGACAGATACTCGTCGCCGGCCTTGTAGATCTTGAAGGCCACGTGGTCCACCCCATTGCCGGTGATGTCCTTGTACTTCTCCACCGCCCCGGCCTCCTGAGACGTGCCCCAGCGGGTCGCCTCGTTGCCGGAAAACGGCTCCTTGATTCCGATCTTCTCCTCCCAAAGCTCAGCCCTCCGGTCGCCTTTCCAGAACCCCAGCGCCGTGCTGAAGGCGCTCGCCGTGATCCTGTTCCGGCGCAGGCTCAGCCATTCCGGCGTCCCTTGCGCCAGGTCCGGCTGCAGCACATCCGTCCCCGGCAGAGGGACCTGCAGGCCTCCCCCTGGCGCTTGCGCTTGCGCCTGCGCCGGAGGGACGGTGCTCGAATGCAATGCCTGGCGCAAAGTCCGCTCGCCCTTCTGGCGCTCCAGGTCGTTCAGGAGGCGCAGGGCGGAGTCGCGCTCGCGCCCGACGAGCTTCAGCGCTCGGCTCTGCGGGCTCGCTGCGCCGAACGCGCGGTCCGACTCCCAGCCCCTGGCGCCGCCCGTGCTCGCCCGCAGCTCGCCCGCATACGATCGCCTCCAGAGCTTCGCATGGTGCTTCGGCGGCAGTCCGCCTCTGCTCCAGCCTCCTCCTCCTCCGACGCAGCTCCAGCTCGTGGTGACCAATGTGTAGCTCGCTGCCTTCTCCATTTGGACCCCGGCGCTTCTCAAGGTCCTCTGCAGAATCTGCATCTGCTGCAGGCCCTTGACGCTCATAATTCCAATCCTGATGTTGCCTGATCTATAAACCCTTCTTCATCGGTGCCACCCGACTGCTGATCGAGGCTGCACCCTGATCCTCCCAGTGTCCAGCTCCACTGCATCCAGCTCCTCGAATCCCTTGTCCAGAGTCCACCAATTCACTCGAGCAGTTCCTCCCACACCTCCCTCACCACATACTGATTTCCACCTCACCTCGGTGAGGTGAGCCGGGAAACATTCTATGGCGCTCACCGTCCACCGAGCGGACCGCTCGATTCAGCCCCAAATTTGCTGTGGCACGCACCGATGTAACTCCTTCTGCAAGGACCCAGTGCAACAAGACCTTGCGGTCTGCCGACTCAATCTGAGCTCCCGATCAAACCCGTCCCGACATCGATCCTCAAAAACCTCATGCTTCTCCGGATACCCTGAGATTCCATATCCGCTGCCTGACGATCCCCTTCCGGCACCGTCGAGTCCGAGGTGCAAGAGACTATCAAGACTTCACTTCACAGACGCAGCAGAGAGCTCAGAAATGTCGCTGCTCATGCCCACCACCGCCAACACAACCGTCGGCTCCACACCGGCGAGCTCGTCTCATCACTTCTCGAGTCAGTCACCCTGGAGGGGGGAAGTGCGGTCGTTTAGGGCCTCGTCCTCCGCTCTCCGGGCGCGAAGAGACGTTTTCGTCTAGCGGCAGCCGCTGGGCCATCCATCGGCGGGCAACTGCGGGGGCTCAGACTGTTGTCGCTGCTGGACTGCGGTACCCCACGCATACCACCGTCGGATTCGGAGGGAGGGATCCGCTAGGCGGTTCGGATTCCTCGAGGGGCGATCGACGACCAGAATTGCTCTGCGGGGTTCCGAAATTTGTTTGTCTGTTTGTTGGCCATCTTCTCCTGCGGTCCACGCTTTTTCACGACAGTACGTTGAGTCGGTCGGTGTCACACGACCTCCGGTTTCTCCGCGCCTCCGGGTTCTGCATCTCCAGAGTCCAAGATTCCTTCTCGTCTCTCTCGTTCGTTGTCGGGACAGTCGCATTCCCACATCCGCGATATTGGAGAATCCGCGTTCGCGATGGGGATTTCTTCGCAAATCTCCGCAGCCTTCTTTCGTGAAGCTCACACGCATTCGACATGCACACTTCGTCTCATGAACTGGCGAGTTTGCGGCGTTATTTCTCGAACCTCGACCAGGGTTTGACATTCCCTCGGAATCCCCCGGGAATAGATAACTTACTTCCGGAACAGGGGGTGAAACAGGGGTACAACCGGAGGAATCCGGTGCACTCTTGCTAAGAGGGGGCTAAACCGGGATTTTAAGGGTTAAACCCGGGGACAGCCGTTGTAAATGTCATTTTAATGAAAAATTTTTGGGAGCATTCACACGTAAATAGCGGACTCAATAGCTTTCAATCCACTGAGAACCCCCGGAAATTTTTTCCAAAAATATCCGGGCGACCCCCAGAAATCAAGAATGCTCTAGTCAAAACGTCGGGGCGTAGCCCCTGAAGTTTTGTGGCGCATTTCCGGTGTCACCCGGTGGTTTTGAGCCATGCCTGTCAAAACCTGACCTCGACTGGACCTTGATTTTCGCTTTCCAGCTGTCTCTTGACCTTGAACTTGTTCATCGACCAAATGTCATGTCGATTTCCACGAACGAGAATGTGAGTCCCACTCCCATGGCCTGACGAATCTTACCTTGAGAGTAATCAGAACATCTGATCGCTTTCGGAATACCAGTTCATTGAATGTACATTAGCTTCAACATATGTTGCACATTCGCTTCAGAAGTAAGAGGTCTTGTGACAAAGAAAAACTCGAGGAGAAATCATCATCCGTTTTGAAGATTTGATGTCTTTTTAATCAAGCAGCAACATCAACTGATGAACATTCTCATTAGCTACTCCTTCCCAAGAGCAATGTGAACTGAAGTTGGAAATCACTAGATTACTCAATCTTCTCGGATTTCAAAATAGGGGGTGGCGGTTTTGGCTTGTATGTCTTCTCAAACTCTGCAGCCTAGCCCAGGCTTCATAAAGCTTGGCACTTCCAAGAATTATAAGATATAACTTAATTTGTGGAAGCTTCTCATTTTAATTCTGAGATTCTTGGGATTTATTAAATATATATATATACAAACTCATGTGGATTGATCTCAATTGCTGGTGATGGTTAATATGGAAGATACCTTCTAGTTATAGGGTCATCAACTATGCGAGTTGATAGTTCCTTTCCCAATTCAATATAGAAAAGTCCAATTTCAAAGAAGTAGTGTTGGCAAATGTTCCATAGAATCGAAGTAGATAATGAAAATCAAAGATCCAAATCGTACCATGCATAATTGAAGATAGTGACATGACCATACTTGCAAATTTGAACTTGTTACTCCTAGTCCAAATTGTTAAGTCTGGATAAATTGTTTCTGATTTTTTTCAATCATATCAATGTCGTACTAGCTCCCAAAAATTTAAGTATGATCTCAATGTGGATTGTTTAATATGATCGCGATATGGATTGAGTATGCTCATTCTGAATGCTCATCTTTGTATCTTTATCAATTCACATTCATTTGAATGTTCCTTCCTACTTGAACATCATTAATATCTTTGATTAATTGAAGCTCGTAATCAATTATCTTATTCATGATTCTCATATTTCCAAATGAAAACTTATTATGAAATAAATCTTGAATGTAAGATACTTGTCATGAATGTGGGCAATTACACTACTTCTCATAATTCATCATGTACTTGTCGTTAGTTTTTTTCATATCTTGAATGTTAACATAGTGCATATATAGATGATTAATCTTTTTTATTTCAAAATGTTGTTGCAATAAAGTCATGTTTTCTGACGTTAGAATTGTCAATGTCATAATGCATGATGACAAAAACAATGGTTGCTGAAATGATACACTTTTACATTACAATTTAGAGAAAAATTCACTCGCAGATGAAAATATAAACTTTGAAGATAAAAGATACCAACAATGATTCTATTCTTCCTTATCTAGATCTTATCAACAAATACAAAGAGATGAAATTTCATCTGCATCATCCATTTCACTCCTAATGGATTAATCTATTCCACTCATGTTCATGATAGTACTTGAAGTTCACAAAATTTTATAATGCTTTCATATGTAACTACTTTCTGCATCAAATACCACAATCTTATTATTGAAGTTTGAAAAACATTCATTGCTTATTGTTTACAAGCGCTTGATTACATGTGCCTACTACATTCCACTCTATGAAATGAAAGCGACTCATTCTCAAAGCATTTGTTTCCATGTAAGAAACTTCACCGTAAGATCAAATTTCATAAACATTATTGCAATAAAATCAAGAACATGGAAATGATATAACTGAATATTCATACTCATTCTCCATCTCTAAACTCTCATCTTTTTACTTCCTTTGAAAGTTTTTCTTCAAATCCTATCCTTAGTTAGAAGTGGAAGCTCCACCTCCAGAACTAGCCATAGCAACAAGCTCCTACTCCAACGGCTAAATCCAAGCAACCATAGCGGCCTCTGTGGTAGGAGTAGCACTCACTACATGCCGTCCGGTGACACCTGCACCAGCACCTCAACCACCTCGGCCTCTTGGAGCACCTCTGCCACGACCCATACTCCAAGATTTCAACTTTGGATGAAGTTCGAAGCATCGCTCTGGAGGATGATCCGCCCAACCACAATGGTCACAGACAACCTGTGTTGGTTGAGGTCTAACCTATGAACCTCGTTCTCTGCCCTCTTGGGGACAATCCTTCCTCATGTGACTACCTCCACATGTCCAACAAGCTGGTCCCTGCTGCTGACCAGAAAATGAGGGCAAGGGTGCACGCGCACTTGTCTCTGTGTGACGTAACTAAGTTCATGTCTGAACTCCACGACTCCCATCACTGATGGAACAAGACTGTGCATTGTTGTGCTAGCACTAGCAACAACACCACTAACACCTATACTGCTACCAACATCATCCTGGGTAATGAACGGGTAGTTTGAGAACCAATGATAACTTCATGCGTCAATCTCCACAACATAGTCTCTACCAAACTCATGATAGTCATTCATGGGTGGTCCCTCGAGATGCTGAAACAATCCTTTTCAAACAAAGAAGGGTGTGAACAATGTGGGATTACGCAAAAATTGCATATCAAACCACGTATCAAACTCCTTGATGAGGTCATCCAACTCAATGGTGCCCACTTCACCAGAGTACCGTCGTGGGGCCTTCATGACCTTGTACATCTTGTCCATGTTCCACATCAACGGGTTTGAGACATTGGACGATATCAACATAAAAGACTCGGGATCCGCAATACCCTGATCTTCCGCAACAACTATTGGAATAGGTAAAGGTGACCAATATCTCAACCCACTTTGTGTAACTCCCCCCCTTTCTCAAAAAGACCATCAAACTCTTCCGTGATGACCAAATCCCTAACTAACATCACTGCCAAACTCCATCAAGTAGCCAAATCCGCACCTGACGTTGTGCCCGCACTAAGCTACTCTAGCCCTACTAACTACAGGATATGGGCAACCTAACTTGCCATCACCGCAAGAAGATTCTTACGGTTTATTAGTCATCACTCTAGTCTCACCGAGAGAGAAACAATGATAAGTCGGCCGGTGATCAAGTTCAACGGCACTATTGACAACACACTACTGGAGTAAAACTACTCAGCGTCACCCTACACGGGCGTGCATCAAGAAGCAAAACTAGAGAGGATCCAAACACAAGAAAATAGCTAGCAACAAGTCTCCAATCTAAAAAAACTCAGCACAAAACAAGACAACACACTGAACATTGCATCGCATTGCGATCCCAATTCAATATTTATCGTCCTTTATCACCTTCCGCCTTCGGCGCCTACAATGCCATCTCTTCCACCAAGTTGCTAACAAAATTGTTTGTAAACCCTTTCTTCATTTTTATTTTTTCGCTGGGTTCACATTCCACTTCAACAAACACACTAAACACTGAAAGCTCAATATATTTTTGACCACATCATATATATATATACAGAATGATTTCAAAACCTCAAGCTTATAGAGGATGAGACCGGATGCAAACTCTCGGTCCCTTCAATACCACTTCTCTAAATCCTAAGCGTATTCACTATCAATCTTTGCTAAGACTATCAAGAAACTTCTCAAGTATAATAATTTCTTCCGACATATAATCTTGAACAAACTGAACATCTCTCAATTAATCCGCGACATCATTGGGAATGTCTAGTAGCTCATGGTCACATACTCTGTAATGTGAACCAGATTCTTCCATTAGCTATTCTATTGCCAGTTCTTCATCCCAATTTAATTGAGAACTTTTGTCTTCTAACACATCATTGTTTACCTAATTCTCTTGTACTTGGGGCTGCAAAGTCAACTTTTGCTTTGTATGCGCAGGTTCCTCACTACTGAAGACCCAAATCGTCTGGATTTCTTATACCTCAATGTCGTTCATTTTTTACCTACAAGCGGCATTTTTCTTTTTCCAACTCAAAACTTCACTATGTACAAGGGTTGTGTTACAAGGTATATGTAACTAAAAGGGAAAACTAAAAACAACTTAACTATAGAACTATTAGAAAGTTTTAATAGTTTTAAAGAACTTTTTATGAAGAAGTTCACTCACCTAGCGAAT